ATCAATTTTTTTTTACTAATCTGATCCTTTATCCCTCACAAGCGGCCTTATATATGGGGCTCATATTTGGTGGAGGTACTTAACCGGGTACAAGGTATCCCCCTGTATATTAATCTGATGCGCTTTAGTGAATCCCGAAATCCCCGCTTGGGCTCCTCTATTATAAACATTGTAGAATGGTTTTGGATCACCCTAGCATTTACATAAGCATATGTAAGAGTTGTAAGAATTCTAATACAAAAAATAAAATCCTGAGTGTTCACCAGGACTGGTGGAATCTATAGTGACATTTAAAAATATTTTATTTTCATTATGTCCATTTCAGGGATGTGGTATCTAAAAGGAAATTGGAAATGCTACCTGGAAATGGAACCATTGTGTTAGATACAGTATGGCACATCAACTTGTCAGTGAAATCATCAGTACCTGCAGAAAAATCGAACAGTATTAAATCGGCAACTTTAGAGATGTATCAAAGCGTAGCGAGATTAATTAAGCTATGCGATGATGTTCTCATAGATGATAAAAGCTCAGAACTGGATATGGAAAATGTCAAAGAAATCGTAACACAAGTAGAAACGTCTGTTCAAGTGAGTCATAGTTTCTACGAAGTCAACGCTTGAAACAAGTTTAGAGAGGACGAAATTCAGGCTGTCTCGATGTTCAGCTACTACCTTCGTCCCACGGACAATGCATATACCACCGATGATTCTGCTGCAGTAGCAGACGAAACGATTGTTACAAGTTTCATCCGACCACAGCCCGGGTTTGGTTCTCTCTAATCGTAACTTCGGCCGTAAAAGCTAATGCTCTTGTATTTCATATATTATATTTTCTTTATAGAAACTCATAACATTAGCTCAAGAAAAGATCTCTCATCAACAAATAACGTATAAGACTACTCCAAGGTCGTCGTACTGCAATAGTTTGGAAATGCCGGCACAACGAAATTCACTTCCCGATATCCCCCTTACTCCTAGAGAAAGGGAGAAGATTGAACAGACTTCCTGCATTGCACCCGCTAAAGTTCGAAATAGTCACAGCACAGAATCTATTCTCAGGTAAGATTATTCATTTATTGTTTATTGACTTTGTCTTTCAAATGAAGGGCAAAATCAATGCATTCGTTTTATAAAAGAGGTTCCCTCTCAAGCACATATCACCCCCCATATTATGGATTTGCAACTTTCGATCACTGAGAAACATAAATGATAGATTTTTTATTCCTGGTCATCTCTCTTCATTTTTCGAGGAATTTTTTTCTTACTCAGTACCTTATATGCTAAATAATATGCCCTAGAGCAGGGGTCTCCAAACTTTGAAGCCTTCGGGCCATAATGATTTTTTCAGTTTGTTCCAAGGGCCAATTTCTGCCCTTAACTATATTTCTAGACTAGGATAGTCGCAAAGTGCGTGACCTAAGCAAACTTACGCT